ACTAGACTTTTTATAGTACGGATGCAAGAATATAATATTATACAAATGTTAGAAAATATATACATAAAATATCTAATTTTACGAAGAAACCACGGGTTCGAGTGCCTGATTTTTTGCACCTAAATTCGCCACTGTGGCTATAGTCCTTTTGTGTTTTGTGTTGTCAAAAGCTCTCAAGCAAATAGGATTTTTTATATTATAGCTTGTTTTTAGACTGTAGGAGGGTATATGCATGACGATGCAGCAGTATGCCATTAGGAACAATAACTTAAGTAAGATGTGCAACCTCTTTTTAATGTTAATTCTTGCTCGAGCATGAAAGTTTCATTTTAGGGAAGGATGACGTACGCATACTATAATACATTTTGCTATGGTTGTACGTGCTAAAAATACTTCTCAAAGTAGAGCGTCACCTTGTTGACATGCTACTATCCTCCATAATATCTTTTCTTAAAACAGTCAAATCATCTTTAGCTAATTCTCCATTCGTTAGCTAATATTTAACTTTCTCCAAATTTATTTTGTTACATTGAACTCCCACAAGTACTGAGAACATACTTATCACTACATTTCGTGCTGGATCGTACCTAAACAATACTGTGGATTAATTTATAAGAAGCCTTGGAAGTGATCTTCTAAAAGAGCATTCAGGTCAGAATCTACACTTTATTTCAAGCCACTAATTTTAACATCATAGATAACAACTAGAGCAATTCATCATCAACAGTTGAAATTTGGTGCATTCCCCACTGTAAGAATCAGAATACTACTAACATCCCAATTCATTCTTAGAAAAAGCAAGACCATAGAAATCCAAAATTTCCTCATAAACATGCTCAAAAAGCACAACCCAATTTAAGCTCCGAAATAGTAAAATTACACAAAAACACTAAATTCTATGAAGAAATGTTTCAAATAGCACTAAATTCTTCCGACACCAAGGCTACAGGAATATTGAAATTACACTTTCAAAAATTTAGGGATTCCTTTCTCCCCTCAAGAAGATGCCTTTGTCTTCCTTGGAGCCAACTGAGTTTCAGGCTGCATGAATAAAAAAATATTTAGGATAACTACAAAAGAATATACTTGAGACAACATAATGGCAGAAACAAAAAGATCTAAAGATGACTGATGAACAGCAAAGGCAACTGTTATAAAGTAGGCACCATGTACTCAAGTTATGAGAATCAACTATGAGGAAGAACGAGGAGACAGATAGAAACTATACCTCTTTCTTAACAGATTCTTCCTTTTCAGACAATACCAGCTCGATATGGCAAGGATGTGACATATAAGCTGCAGAAAGGTCAAGAAGTTAAAATCGTAATGCATATCCTCAACTACACTAAGAACCATCCAGGAAATAAGAGGAGCACTCACGATTGATTCTTCCATGAGCACGGTATGTACGGCGCCTCTGTTTCTGTGCTTGGTTTACTTGGATGTGAGTAATGTAAAGTGAATCCACATCCAAACCTTTAACCTAAATTGAGGTGAAAGCAACATCTTTAGGGAAAAGATGAAAGCAAAGGACCGAGTGAAATAATATAATCCTACAAATTAGGACATACTTCAGCATTACTCTCAGCATTTTTGAGCAAATCCAGAATAAACTTTGCAGATTTGACAGGCCAACGTCCTTGTCCATTAGAGTGGCGATTCTTTGCCTGAGCAGTGCGACCAACCCCACGACAAAAGCGGGTGAAGGGGATGGCTTGTTTGTGGGCAAGAACATCCTCCAAGTAGCTCTTTGCCTTGTTCAAAGGCATCTTCCTAAGGGCATGTGCTGTTTCTCTAGTATTCTAGAGATAGATAATAAGTACACATTAGAGTAAGGAAGACATGCAAAGATCAGAATGACCATCAAAAATTACAGAACTGTTAAATATCACTCCAACTGATAGAACTGTTATATTTCATTCCAACTGATTCAGAAGTGTACAGAAAAAAGAATATTGATCCTAGAGAACCAATTGTCAACAGAAGAATCAATATTCTGAATAAAAGTAGTCAAGGCAGAGTTTTGTGCTATCAGAGATTGATTGAGATGGTGAACTCCTTGCTATTTTTGCAAGAATATTATACAATGGTAGTGATAAATAATCAGAGCCACTGAACAGTAACAAACACAAGAACAGAAGACAAAAAAAGTGCATCTACCCTATTACTTTGTGAACAAACTTGGATACATGCTTCAAATACATCTATTGCCATCATTCAAATTGCATGGTACCACCCTCTTCTGTCATACACTAATCCCAAACAGAAACGACACATTGTTATTTGCCAACAAACAGAGCCACCATATGCTTATCATAAGTATTTTAGCTGAAATCATCAGCTTAACACACATTTAACAAAGCATAACAGAAATGTCAAAAAATGTTCACCCATTACTTAATTGATGGATACATTCACTTCAACAAGGCAAGTCATTTTTTTAAAAAAAAAACTTGCTGAAAACACAAGTTAAGTTCGATATGCAATCGCAATATTGAACCACACAACGCAACAACAAAAATAAGTATAGCAGACGCTAATAACTTGCAAAGCAAAAAAATCACATAAAATCAAAATATAACATAAAAATACATATCACACACCTTGAAATGAGCTCTGAGATCCGAACCCCTAGCTTTGCAAGCTGATACAAGAGCATTAAACAATCAAATAAAAACCAACACATATAAACACTCTTAAATAATGCTACAAACAGAAAATGTATGCATCGTATTGAGTACTCACATTTGGTTGGGTTCTCTGGCTCATTCGAATACTTCACCTACATAGAAACAAAACGGATTAACACAGAACTCAATCGGAGATTTCGACGGTTTAACACACTAACTAACCATGGCTTCCGGTGATGCTGCTGTTCCCCTGCAGCTGCTGATAGAAGGTGTCTGCTTGGGTGCTAGGGTTTCCGTGTTATATTGAAATATATTCTGGTTATAACAGTGTTGAAAAATTAATTGGGCTGTGCTCTTTTTTACTGGGCCTTTTTGAAATATTTGGGCTCTTGACTCTGTGTTGTGTTGTTTTCTAAAAATTTCATGAGATGAGCCCATTTAATGCTTGACTCCAAGTCTATCTGAGATTCAGAATCATATAAGAAAGAGTAAATTTTAGGTTTAGCAAACATAGATATCATATTTGTATGTTATAACTATAGTTTGTATAATTACGCTTCATAGCAAATTTTATGTTTGCTATGGCTATTAATATGTATATTTCGGTATACATATACAAAAATAATCAATTGTATAATTTGTGTTTGTATAAAGCGAGAAAGAGAGAAAGACAAGAAAACTGGGCAGGGGAAGATCTGTATTTGTAAAATTATAAGTGTATGGGAAGAAAAAATATATATTTTTATTTGTATATACAATTTTCTCTCGCTTTATACAAACACAAACGCAATTTATACATTTGTGTTTGTATAAAGTAAGAGAAGCGAGCGAGATCTGGGAGAGTGGCGAGCGAGATTATCTGGGAAGAGAGGAGAACGAAAAAATATGTATATATACAATTTTCTCTTGCTTTATACAAACACAAATGTAATTTATACATTTGTGTTTGTATAAAGTGAGAGAGGCAAGAGAGAGACTGCCGAGCGAAATCGGGAGAGTGGCGAGTGAGATTCGCTGGGGAGAGAGGTAAATGATAACTATTTGCTACGGGTTACAATTAAATGAAACTGTGGTTATAATATTTAATTTGAATTAATAATTTGCTATTTTATACAATTTTCCCTACTTGTTCCCCTCCAAACCCTAAAACCTGCTCCTCCAAACGGTCATGCGTCAATTCATATTTGAGGAAGTTTTGATAATTTCCACAAAATATGAATTTTCATATTTATGAAAAACTTTTGAAATTATAAATTTTGCCTGAAGTTTAGCATATTACTTGTGCAAATAACTTTGTGTAATACACGTCAATAGATTCTCTTATCAAGAACAAATTATAAATATTCATATTTGAATTCAGATAATATATGTTCGAAATTGAGAGTAGTTTTTTAAAGTTTGAACTATGCACCAATCTTCATCCTAGTCAACATTTGCACGATTTTTCATAATACATACTTGATTTAAATTCACTTTTCGTAGTCAAAATTGAGGATCCACTTCTTCAATCTTGCAATAATAATTTTTAAATGATCAACTAATTTTCTCCATGAAATCTTATAGAGATTTATATTGGAATTATTTCGAACAAGTATGACCTTAACACCTCGTTTGAATAGTTGTATATCATTTCATAATGTGTCATATTATATTATCATTTTAAATTTTGATGAATATATCATTTGAATAAATAGATTGTATCATTTTCCGTCATTACATGATGTGACGTCAATAATTTGAAGGTTAAATTACAAAAATAAGTAGGGTATGAGGTAATATTATAAAAAAAAATAGAGAAAAAGATAAATAGGATTATTAGATAATAACCAATACTATAGATAAACAAATTCCATACAATCCGGACTCAGCCTCCTTTTCTGGGATGAATGTGCATTGGCCATTTGCTACTTGCTAGTGCTTATGGTACTTGATAGTTTTTTTTTAATTTAAAAAAATAGCTTGATGCACTAAGCTCCTGCTATGCGCGGGGTATAGAGAAAGGCCGGACCACAAAAATCTGTTGTACCGTCTTACCTAATAGTTCAACTTCTGCTTTTTACCTTGCAAATTTACCTCCTTTATCAATAAAAATAAAGAGCAGGATATAGGTTCCCTGTAATCGTTGTTAGGCCTCTGAATATTTATTCTCTCTTTGTAAAATTGGTCAGGAAAAGACTTTCTACTCGAGAATAATCAATTTTTAAAGTAAATTTTCACCACTTGATGATCACTTATAGTCGATTGATGAGCTTTTTTGTTGCTTTTGATGCATACAAGAACAAAAAAAGCTCCAACAAGGTGTTACAATGTTAACGATCAATTTTTACTGCAAAACTAAACAGAAGCATACGAGATCCAGAAAGCAAGACGATAACGAGCATGTGCCATTGAACAATAATATTTAGTAGCAAATTGTAACATAAATGTTTAACTCAAGCTAATCATAGTTGAACTGTTAAATTTCAACAATAATGTGATTTTCCTTCACTTCTCGATATCCTGGTGCTCCATTATCAGATCGATAGGAGACATTAGAGCTATCGTCTGTCAGCCGTTTTACGTCATTCCATCCATTTGACATTCTTGTACAATCGATGCCACACAGATAACCAACTCTTTTGCAGTATGATACAATTTCTTTTTTGTTCTTTTTCTTTTTGATTGTCGAATTGATAAATGATGAGAAGAACGGAACTTTAAGTCATGAAGAGACGTTCTCTTCCTTCTGAGACAAGTACCTAAAGGAAAACACAGCATGAAGATCAGATTTTTATTTTCACTAAAACAAGGTGATTAATAAAGGGATGGGAAAGATGATCCAGACGGATCTACATAAAAGACGCTCAAAACTTTGGTTAAACGCTTAATCTGGGAGCAGAACTTGCTAGTAACTACAACTGAATTGTTCAAATATTGTTGTTTCTGTTTAATATTAGTATGGATTATTATGCACTTGTGAACTGAGACACATACCGCTGATGCTTTAGCCAACGTGAGAGTTGATAGAGTTGCACTGACTCATTTGAAGCATGGCAAGCCAGAAGAAGATAATTGCGAGGACGTACCATCCATGCAAATCTCATACACAATAGTGAATATACACATAGCACTGCAGCCAAAGAAACAAAAGCAAGAAAATTCAATAAATGGTCTGAAACTGAGACAATCATTTATGCAGGATCAAAAGCAAAGCACACCAGAAGGTGTTGATGTACCAAAAACTTATGTTTTGAGCAGCAGCAGATTCAAAATTTAAATGCTGAAAGGTCTAGCAAAGTTAAAAATGCAGGTTCTGAAATTTATATTCAATCCTATCTACACTTTTTTTCCACATATTTACATGAGGCTCTAGTCTGAAGCCATAGGTTTGGCCAAACCACGGCTTATATTGGATCCACCATTGTTTCTACGAGAGACATTTTTCTTTTTTTCCACATATATACATGAGGTTCGAGTCCAAAGCAGAGTTTTGGCCAATCTCACAGCTTATACTGGATCCACCATTGTTTCTGCTAGAGACATTTTCTTTTGCATTCGAAACAAGGATACATCAACCATTGTTCGAGTAGTTTGGACTAAAAATGTAAAGACTACAACTATTTCACCTGAAGTCATGTTGCCAGATATTGCATCAGGGGGCTTCTGTGAATCCATCACTCCCTAACACATCAATTCAAGTAAATTTCAGAGACTTCAGTATTAGATTAAAAAAAACAGCGATACAGTAACGAAAACGATCAGCAGGGGTTAGGAACATACAGAAATGACAAATCCCCAGTTGGCCATAGGACCCCAAAAGTGAGTTGTTTTAGGACCAACAGGACTGTTCAAGAATGCCCGGAAGTAACTCATGATTTTGTAAGTCAATTGCCTCTGCATACAATGAAGCAAACTTCAAATACTAACAAAAACTATTTTAATTTGTAAATCACATTTATAGTCAATCCTAAATTCCTAATCATTTTCCAATTTACTGATAAAAAAATTGAATCTTTTCATTTAAAGAACAAACCTTTATCCTATAGTTCTGTTGAGATACCTCAAGTAAAAACAACAAATTAAATTTCCATTTTCTCTTCTATTCATTACAACAATAAAGAATCAAATTATCACGATCTTTATTCCTTTTTACCTACGTCTTCCTCTACCAACTCCAATGCCCACACCCAACCAAAGGACGTGACCTAGTGGTCAGTAAAGTAGGTTTAGAACCCTAACGTTTCAGGTTCAAATTCCTGCAGAAACAAAAATAATATGTAATTTCTTTTCATATTTCCTAACGTTTCAGGTTCAAATTCCCGCCGAAACAAAAATAATAGATAATTTCTTTTCATATGTCCTAAACGTTTCAGGTTCAAATTCTAGCAGAAACAAAAATAATAGGTAATTTCTTTTCATCTGTCTTAACGTTTCAGGTTCAAATTCCAGCAGAAACAAAACATATGTTCTAGTTTTGATTAACAAAGCTACCTGATGTTAGTAGCTGATAAGTATCCCATGAAATTAACGGAGACCCGAACACCAAGTATATCATTAGAAAGGAACAAAAACCAGTCTATAGCTACTAATGTTACAACAAGACCTTACCTCGAATACTGCGCAATAAAAAGCTTCTGCAATTGGTGATGAAATTGGGGAAATGCAAAATTAATTTCAATTTCTCTTTATGAGAATTGTTGAAATAAATGTGGATACTTTCTTGTTTTTCCAGAAAAGGAATTTTGCCATTAATAGGAGTAGCAGCTAGGGTTCATTATGAAAGTGGTTAGTTATGAATGAATTTCACGCTTTAATCAGTTAGAAATGAATTCCACACTTCAATAATTTCGTGTAGATATACTTGAGACCCCATCCTATGCAATGCCACCTGTGCACAAGTCAATTTTTATTTTTGGGAATAAAAATTAAATTTATAGGATTATGCGTATATTTACTAAGGAAAAATTGTATGAAATAACAAACTATTAATTCAAATTAAATGTTATACTCATAGTTTATTTTATTTGTAATTCGCAACAAACATTCCTTTTTTTTTGTCATCTGGTTCGATATACAATTACCCCATTTCGGTATACAAACTCATTCGGTATACAATTACTAATTTTTAGTTTGTTTATACAGATTCAATTTGTTGTTTGTATATATTACCCATTCGGTATACAATTACTATTTTTTAGTTTGTTTATACAAATTCAATTTATTGTTTGTATATTTTTCCTAGTTATACATAGCAAGACATGCTTGTATAATCTCTTTATGTATATATGTAGTAATTTTGTTTATATACAATTACTATGTTTTAGTTTGTATACAAATCAATATATAGATTACCGAAATATACAGATCAAGACATGACAGGTTTTTATGAATAAGTATATCGAAATATACAAATATAATGTATATATATACCGAAATATATAAATACATTATATATGCATACCGAAATATACAAATTAATATTCATAGCAAACATAATGTTTGCTATGGAGCGCAATTATACAAACTATAATTATAGCATACAAATATAATTTTTATGTTTGTTATGCCTACAATTTACTCATTATTAAATTAAATAATTTCTTATTTACTCTAAATTGGATTATTACTACTAGTAAGGTGAGAGTAGAATTCCCCCAATCTCTCATTTGTTCGACTACTTAGTCTACTTTGAATGATCCTATCAATTTTTGAAGTAGTTCTTCGGAGACGTCTCAATTTGTGTTGATATATCTTGACGAGACATAAACTATAAAAAAGAAAGAGAGTTTTGAAATTGGAAAAATCATTTTGGCCAGAAAATTTGGTCAGAATGATATTTTACCTATGTTATTTTATCTTTTTAAACATTTTTACCCTTTGAACTAAAAAAAAGGGAAAAAAATAAGTTTATTTTAAAATAAAAAATATATTATAGACTTTTTAAATTTTCTGAGCATTTAGCATTACCCTTTGAAATTTTACAATCTAAAATAAGATATAATTTTTTGTGCAGATACAAATCACATGGTTAGGTGAAAGTCGGTTGAATCTAGGCATTGCGTGAGGACATTGGTGTAACCATGATAAAGAGTTTGGAGGTTCTAAATTTCCTTTAGAACTGTCAATCAATTTTGTTAGGGGTTCACAAATTAATATACATATATATTTAATTAATTTTCTAATACAAATACAAAATCTACGAAAAAACTACTGGGTGCGAACCCATAAACCCCGACCTAGCTCCGCCTCTGCGTGAGGATTGAAAATTTCAAATCTGCGTTGCATTATTTACGCGAAGAATATGAACAATGTGCGGTGCATAGGGACATAAAAGTAGTCACGGACTATCTCTTGGATAGTTGTTGAAAGGTGAGAAATATTCATCATCAAGATGAAAAAGGACATGCTGTCATAATTAACCTTATTATAAAGTATATGTGACAAAATATTCTATCAGAAAAGTGAAATTTATTCCAAGAAAGAGGATCTGGTGTAAGAGGAAGCTTGGATAGTACAACAACAATATACTCAGTGTAATCTCACAAGTGGGTCTGGAAAAGCTCGGATAGTAGCTGATAAAATAACTGGTTTTTGGTCAAGCATTAATGTCTTTGGTGCTTAGCATCTGCTCACAATTTTCCATCCTCAGCCTCGTCCTTGTCCCATTCAGCAGCAATCTTCACAAAACTCCTCTTTGTTCATCAATTTCTGATACTCTGTTGCTTTGTTCATCAATTCCTGATTCTGCTCTCTTCTTTTCCCCATTATATTGGCCAAACTACAAACAACATTATGTAAAATTAAAAACTTTGATCTGATTCTGCTATGTGCTGCATTACCTTCTTCAGCAATATGAAACATGTTTTTTTGATAATCATCGCATACCTTAAAATCTATGCAGCAACTCAATGAGCAAGTACCGTAAGTGCAACATACTTGATACAAGTTCATCAATTAGTATCAACTAGCAACCTAATATTAAAGGTTCAAATCACGTTCTATTTCAATTACATTTCATACACAATGGTAATGCCATCAGTCAAACCACCATCGGAGTAAGAGCTTCCAAAAACATTTCCAAAATTGAAAGAGAAACCATACAATGTGATGAAATATGCAGAGGCATATATGTTGTATACATATAGATAAACTGTTTTTCTGATCTAGCATTTTTTTTTCCTTTTTGAGTTCCATACATGTAGAGTACATTGAAGTTCAAGACAAAAGTGAGATCGACACATGTAAATAATGCAACACTAAGTATAGAGTCTAGAAACAAAGGCATCATCTCAACCTAGAATTTCTTGCAAAGATGAAACCAACAAAGCACAAACTGCATCCAGACCAGATAAGCATATTATAAACTAATAAAAAAAAGAAAATCTAGTTTTGAAGCAACAAGAGTTCGATGTTTACCGCAAACATACATCTTTATAACAATATTCTCAAAAGAAACCCTAAAGCAATATCAAATTGCTAAGAACCATTCAAATATTACAATGCTGAAGTTAACCATTTACAACAGAATTTAAAGGGAAAGGCAAGCAGATTTAATGAACAAGTATATGCCAATTAGCAAAGCAAGACATCTACATTATATAGCGTAACTTGTCTAACCTGCCATCATCTCTCCAAGACTCGAACAGGCACCCTGAAGTATAGCTATCTTCAGCAATTGGCAGAGCCGCAGAATAGGACTACTCTTAGCCGAGTAATTTGAAGTAGGAGTGCAAAATCACACAACATAATTCTAATATAATCACGTTCGATATTGGTCAATAACTTTCAAAAGGCTATAGGACTCAGAATCTGGCCTAGCCCCTCCAAGAATCATTCTTTTAAGAAGATTTGGATCATATACCTTCCCCTTAACATACGCCTTGATTAACGCATTGTACACAAAGGTATACCTAGTATAATTCGCTTTCTTCAGTTCTTCAAACAACTTTTCAGCATTCTCTACATCACCATTATCTGCAAATATTTCAATTATTGAAAGAGTAGTTTCCAACCATGGAGTTGATCTTTTCACCTTTATGCTTGTTTCCATATCCATCCCCAATTGAAGAGTTTTGATGGCCTCCTTAATTAACCCCGCTCTCAAGCAACCAAGAGCAAGATGCCGATAAGTAATGGCATTTGGCTTGCACCCACTTTTCTCCATCTCCTTATACAATGCAGTGGCTTTGGTGATATGTCCATGTCTACAATATACAGCTATCAGCGAATTGAACTGCTCATTTGACTTCAAAGAATTCCTTGATTTCATTGCAGACCACAGCTCTTCAGCTCGACAGAGATCTCCGATCCTACCAAATGCTTCGATCGCCAGGACATAACTCTTAGACCTAACATGGGAAAGCTCCAGAATGACACCCCATGTCCTCTCTAAATCATTCCGCTTTCCCAGATATCCATAGAGTATGACCAGAATGTCCAATGTAGACCAGTTTTGTCCAGTTGCAGATTTCTCAATAGCTTCAATATAGGTCTCACAAACTGTATACAATCTAGCCACAGCATGTGTATTGGCCAATATACAGTAAGATACCTCATTCGGTTCAACTTTTGCTCTCTTCATATCACCAAAAACTTTCAATAGGCCTTCAATATTGTGTTGATTTGCTTCTATCTTGAGCAGAATATTGAAGGTTGAAACATGTGGAGTAACCTTATCGGCTTTCATCTGCGTCAAGATTTTAGGAATGAACTTCTTGCGGCTTGGGGAGGAATGGAGAATGATGAGATGATTGAACACCAAATAAGATATGGGATGGTCCAGTTCTCTCATTTTCTTCATATATGCTAGTGAAAGCCTTATCAGTCCTCTGTCCAAGCATCCGAGTATAAGATTGTTGTAGAGCAACTCATTTTGGAACTCAGACGGAATTCGTGAGAATAGGCTTTCAGCTTGTGATATCCCATGAAGCTTAGAAGTGAATTCTACTAAATATGAGTAATCTAGTTCCTTTGGTCTGTATGGTCTCTCCCTTATAACCCATTCCATCACCTGTGAAAAACATAGATATTGCTTAATATCACAAGTGAAGTTCTAAATGAGTACCAAATTCTATCTATTTCAATGATAACTGAATCTAACACTGAAACACTAATGAATGCAGCTAGATTAAGAACCTAAAGATTGTCAATATCAACTACATATGCTTGATTAGGCATTATGATAGGTAAGACTTGAAAATGAGCTCAACAACATAATAGAGCAAATTCAGTATATATTTTGTGAGAAGGAATAGAGGAAATTCGTATATTGAAAATGCCCGAATAACTAACATGGATTATAACACTCTGCAACTGTTTAACCTGAAACATGGCAGAATAGATCAAGACAAAGTTTTCCTCTTCCCTGACTACCTTCACTACTACTACCCTTAGATATCTTACACAAACATGTAAAGTGCACCCTAGTGATATTCTCAGTAGGTTGAATACTTCATAATAGATAAATGCCCATTTTCAAATTTGGCAAGAAAGGACAGAGTAAAAGAACCTCAAGAGCACGCTTGTTGAGTTTGAGTTTGCGCAAACGATTCATAGTGTGGAAAATGTCACCTCTATGAATAGGTAGACCATCACCCATCCAGCTTTGGAAAGTGGATCCAATGGACTCTCCTATGGGTACTCTTCCAATTCTTTGACTTAAGTTGTTCCTTGTTGCCACCATTCCCTGATCTACCAACCTTTCTTCCTTTTCTGATTCTGAATTCTCTGAAGTAAAATTTGCATCGGATATTTTCGAACAAAAAATGTGACATGAATGAATAGTTTGTTTGGACAAAGAT